TTTTTTGTAGTGTTTGTCTATGAAGTGGCATGTTCCACTTTTCCAGAAGACCATTCCAAACATTGTCCCCCATCCAATCAAGTTGTTTTCCTTGAGTTCTAGCTTTTTTTTATACGTCTATAAGAGTCTATGAGATGCCTTGGTGTGAAATTTTTTTTTATCTTTTCCTCATCTTCAAACTTTTGTGAAACTTTTCTCTGTTATAGGAAAAATAATAGGTTTGAGTAAATAGGAGTGTTGAAATCTTTATAACATATATAAATTTGTCATCTCACAAATTTCACACTATCTTCACCATCACTCACAAGATATGTAACAATATAAATCCAATTAAAGGGATCGAGATAACCATATAAGGGTTAACCCATTATACCACAGGGTTCAATATCACAACATTACTACTAACAAAATTTAATAAATAATATTTCTAAAGATTTACTAACTTCTCTTACTTTAAAATAACTTTTTTCAAAGTTAAAACTCCACAACTCAGCCGATTGAGTTACTCCCAACTAGAGACAAAGTGCAAAGTGTCCAAACAGGACAGAGTTTTAGTATATGATATATTAGGCTTTGGGAATCATTTCTCTCAATTGTTTCAATTAAAGTTGATGATAAAAACAACATGAAAACTAAAAAAGATGATTTCATTAGAATAAACTTATTCCGTTTTAAAATTTGATCAATTCAAAATACTTTTTAGCTTATTGATCAATTTCTAAAAATTACTGAAGATTGAAGGTGTAAAATGGAAAAGAAGGAACAGATAAGAGAGCTTGTATGTGCTCGCGAGATAGAAAAAAATCAGGCGAGGATGATGTTTATCCTCCCCTTTCTTTTAGTTGCTTTACTTTTATTTTATATATTATAATAATAATAAGATTTTATTTTATTTTTCATATGTTACAATGCCCATAAGTAACTTTACCTCATAAAAATGCATTTTCCAATTTTAGAGAAGTCAAACTAAAAAATTATTACATATGGTACCATTTGTGGGTTTTTATGTTTAAATAATAAAACACCTATATCCTTTCCTTTAACTGAAGAGAGAATGAGTTTTGAATAGCAAAATTTTTAAGAGAAAGAAAGCACAAATAACTAGTTAGCTTTTGAAGCTTGTAATTTAACAGATTTTTAAATGTGTTAGTTTTAAATTTTCCAAATTTTTATGGGTAGGACTTACTAAGAACTGTAGCTTACGCGTAAATTTATAAATGGACGTAAAATTTCCCACGGACTCGCTTGTGAAACGCACGTTTAAATGTAGTAAAAATTTAGATCTACACACATATGAAACGTGAATTGGTGAAACGTCGTCATTGGAAGCAAGCGTTGTGTTCCACTTTTGGGGAAGTTCCCTCCTTAAAGAAAAAGCTGAAGTCCTACTTCTGTCATCGCTGACAATTGTCATACACCCTTAACTTCAATCACCCTCATTTTCAACGGTCAAATACTCCTTTTCCATCTTCACACTTTTACTGTATGCTCCTTTTTTTTTTTTAAATTTATGTTTAGGAACTGAAATAGCAAAAACAAAACACTGGTAACTTAGTTTCAATTTCTTGAGAAGTTGAACACACTATCACTAGACAGAACATACATACATACACGTACATAAGCGTGGCAGCAATATGGTTACATTGTGAACGAGTTTACAAGGCTTACTGGTTGTCTCAAATTAGTTGGAGTCTAGATTTGACCAAACGAGTGAGCTAGATACGCCAGTGCTCCTACAAGGGGTGAGTTTATGTATGTGGCTGGCTCTGATTGCTCATAATCTGACCGTTCATCTGGGAACCTATCATGTTGGTCCGGTCCACCCACAATAGCCCCCACTAGAATGTTTGGGTTCGGGGATTGTGAATTCATCACACTAAAGCCTGCACGACATTGGATCTTTCCAGGGTGTACACCCATGGACGGTAGAGATGAACCCCTGTGGTGTATCCTTCTTGGGTATCTTCCACCATACCCCACCATGTACGACATCTTTAAGGGGTTGTCTCCAAGCAAGTAATCTACCTGCAAATAGAATAATTAAAATAATCAACTCCAAATGACTATGGCAGATAAACAGATGCTGCAAGTTACTTTTTTTTTTTCTTTTTCCCCAACCTGTTTCTTAGCTATTGACCGGAGCCTCTTTGGTGTTACTGCCATTCCGCCACAGTTAACAACCGTATGAGCTGAGGTCAAGTATTTCGCATATGTTAACAGCAGGAAGGAGGTGGATGTGACGTACTGCATGTTGCTATCACTCATCTTAAAAAGTAGCCCACCTAGTATAACAAGAAAGTAACCGTTACAATTTGGACCACTTAGACACAGTTTCCACTGCTACCGAGTAAAAATGAACTTCACCTGGTGTATACTGGGTGGAAGAGAAAGAGGTCCCAGGAATTAGAGAACAAACGAAATTGTCCGCATGCCCCTTGTAGTCATGGAGGGATTGTACCCTTTGAACCAGGAATTCCTAAAACCATGAAAAAAAAAACTGTAAATTTTAAATCATTACGTTTCTAGTTTTGTTTGCAGCATAGTCAAGAATACATGTGATGAGATATGGACCTTGGAGAGAAGTATTCTTGCTCCGGCATGCTTGTTATCCCACCCAAAGGTGTTGTCAAACTCTGCAGCCCCAAGGATCTGGCCATTAACTTTAATGTAGTTTAGGTACATTGGATTCTTGGTAGCCTTGTGCAGCCAGGCAGCACCCCACAACAGCTCATCCTACCATATCATTCACCAAAAGAATTTGAGTAATGAGTATGTCTCCTCTTGCTAAACTGAACATCCCTAAAGAATCTGGAACGGTTGAAAGGTTACCTGATAACCAGAGTAAGAGCAATAGAAGGGGCACACAAAGGGTTTCAAGGCATTGCTGTAGGATCCTCTGTATTTATCAGCAAACTGGAATACCTAAACCCACAAACAAAATACATACAGTCTTCAGATTTAGTGGAGAACAATTTTCTCTTCCGAAAATTGCTTCTGAAAACTGAACCGAAGGCTTACCCTGATGGCCCTTCTAGCTAAAACTTTTGAGTATGTGGGGTCAGTTCTTCTAAAAACCAGAGAAGCAGCTGCAAGAGCTGCAGCAGTTTCAGCGGCAACTTCTGAACCAGGTGTGTTTGCATCTATTTTGAACACACTTCTTGGAGTGTCCATGTCCTCTGGTCTCTCCCAACAAGAATGGTCCTTCTTAGCATCCCCCACCTGCAAAAGCCAATCCAAACCAAGATCAGAATCTAAGTTTCCCATTCTCTCCCTAAAGAAGACTGACTCCATTTTTATAAGAAAATAAAAAGGTAAAATACGCAAGAGTGTGTAACTGACCTGAACATAAATGGTGTTGGGATGTGCAGTAGCTTTGAGAAGATAATCAGTGGCCCAGCGAATGGCCACTCTGGCATTCTGCAACTCACCTTTCATAAGCCCACCAAACTCAATAACGCTCCATGAGAGCATGGTGGTGGTGAAGGCCATGGGGAAGCCAAATTTGACATTGTCCCCAGCATCATAGTACCCGCCGACCAAATCAACCTGCATTTATATTAACACTAAAATAAGCAACCAAATACACAAAAAAGAAAAACATGGCAATGTGAGAGTTGGGACGACTGTGAGATGGTTAGATATAGACATACACGCAGGGCGGCGCCATCAGAAAGACCAGAGTCCCTCCTCCAAGACATTCTCTGGTTAGGAGGGAGCTTCCCTGACCTCTGGCCTTCAAAGAAGAGAATGGATTTGGTGAGAGCATCTCTGTAGTCATGAGTGGCAAAACGAGGGTGGCGATGGTGAATGGGGTGATTGTAATGGAGTGGAGAGGCATTTGCATGTAGCAGAAAAACAGAGAGAAGGGGTAGCAGAATGGTGAGGGAAAGGGAGAAAGTCATTTTGAAGAGGGAATGTGAAACGACCAAACAATAACCTGCAATTCACACTGTCAAGAGTGTGTGCTGTTTTGACGTTCAGTCTCTGATTTTTATAAAGCAAAAGCTGCTGCGGCCTCTCTAAGGCCCTGCTTCGTTACAATACAACAATAATTAGATCCACATCCTACTCCTACACTCTTATGTTTTGCCTTTTCTTTTATTTCCATTTTCTCCTCTCTAACTGATCAAACTATTTTAAACTAAAATTTTGGAAAAAAAAAAGTTATATGTTTTTATGTGTAAGTAACATATAATACTAACAGGACAATGTATTTTCTCAAATATCATACTTAATTTATGTTAGAAATGTTGTTCCTATGTCAATTGGATTTTAAAAATAAGTTTCACAGTTATTTTTGAAACATTGAATCTTGAAATCACTAAATAAAAGTATTTTAATTAAGTAAAACAAAATGTAAGAACAAGATTAAAGGATACCAAGATTTATACCGCTATTTGAATGAGCCTATATTCAGTCTTTTTCAACAACTTTAATTAAAAGAAAATTTACTAATAAAGATTTGAGTTAAAATACAAAAGATAACACTCAATTTGTATCCTCACCAACAGTTAAACACAAAACAAAGTGACCTAAGAGAGGACTACACTCACTCTCTCCAACCTTGCCTACCCAACTAAGGTTACAAGTCAAAAACAATGTCAATGGAACCTGAAAACACACTCAATTATGTATATATCACCGTTCTTATTGCCTTTTTCATACCTCGGAGAGTTCTTGGTGATTTCTTTCACAAATGTTGCTTGAATCCTCCAATAGTGCTTCTTGTTGTGGATTTTTTTTTCTTATATAACATAGTTTTATTTTTAATTAACAAATAATTAATTTATTCTGTTAGAACCATAAAAATCCCAACTTAGTGGAGTACATGTGTAAGCGAAAGGGGCGTCCGAAATTCAAAAAGTGGAAGAAAAGTGTGTGATGGAGATTAGACGAAAGATTTTGACGGTAGGAGTAAAACTGAAACTTTCAAATTTTCGTGTCACTTCTCTGCATGCACCATTCATCTTCAACCTTCTGAATATCCTCCTTCTCTCTATCATCTCCACTTTCTCTCTAAGAAAATCTCATCTTCTCTTCTTCTGATCACCTCTCAGGCACCGTTTGAACTCTCCTAACGTCAAGAGCTTTCGTTTAAACCGATCGGTTTGTGGTTCTAAGCCGGTGAGTTTCTTTCTCTTTAGCACGATCGTTTATTCTTGCATGCAAACCCCTATTTCTGGTCGCCTGAGCGAATCGTATTATTCTGAGTGTTTCTGGTTTTCTGTTTGGTTTAGTATTCCTAAAACGTGACTGTCGAACATAAAGTCTTTGGTAGTGGTGAGCTCTATTATGCATCTGTGAGCGTTCGGTTACGGTTAGAGGTAAGGGAAGCTTATATAATTTGATTAAGATTCTTGTTTTGAACGTTTGTATGTTTGCATGATACGTTGTTTGATTATTTGATGAGTATGAAATATGCGTGTTACTGCTTGTTTGGATGTGTGGATGGATGATTGATAAATGGTGTGAACTGAGTTGAGATAGGTTTTGATCTTCAAACTGTAGTATTTTGATTAAATGTTATAGTATGGTCGAGCGCCATTAGTGATCGTTCGATTTTTCATGGAACTGCATGGTCTTAACTGATCTCTCATGTTTTAGGGATATTGTCTAAGAGTCATTCTGTAATACTTTGTAGAATTAGGTAAACTGTGACCGAGAGACAATATTAGCTGTTCAGTTTTCCTTTGAGCGTCTGTCTATACTAAATTCTTCTTCTAGAGAGAATTTCGTTCGAAGATCGTTTTATAATATTAGATATATGTAAATGAGCGTTCAGCCTAAGTGTAGTTCTCCTTTAGGCTTCCTAAACAATTTAGTTAATGTATTCTATACTACTTAAAGTCGTAGGCGTTATCGTTATTTTTCATTAAAAATAAGTGTGGCGCAATTGTATATA